GCAGCCGCAGCGCTCGCCTCGACGCGCTCGCGCCGCGCGCCGTTCTCGACGTCGACGTCGAGGGCCCAGACGCGCGCCGTCGAGTCCCACGACATGGAGGTGACCTTGCGGTGGTACAGGATCCGCCTGTCGAGCCGGTTCTCCTCCGCCACCTGCCGCATGTACTCGAGGATCTCGCGGCCCTCGGCGAGGTGCGTGTATGGCTTGTACGGCTTGAAGCCAAAGCCGAAGCAGATCATCGGCGAGTCGGAGCGGATGCCCGGGTACTTGAACTGGTCCCACGTCCCGCCGAGCGACGCGCGGCCCTCGAGGATGGCGTACGAATGGTCAGGGCACTCGGTCTGCAGCCGGTACGCGGCGCCGAGGCCGCTCAGCCCGGCACCGATGATCACGACGTCGAGGCGCTTGGATGGGATGGGGTACGGGTTCTCGGCCATGGTCTGTGGTGGCGCAGACCGCGGTTCGGGCGCAGAGGAGGCGGGGCGGTGGACGGTGAGCGGCGCACGGACCGGGATAGGATGGTGGCAGCCGCAGGGCGCGCCACACAACCTGCGGAAGCTCGAGGTGGCCCGGGCGCCTCAGTGGATTGACGCAGCGAGGCGATCTGTGGTGATGGCGATCGTTTTTCTTTGTTTTGCCTCTGCTTTCATGTCGTTCGAACGCACACACACGCGCCGCATTCGTCGCCGGCGCGCGACAGGCTCCCGTCGGCCGGACTGCCCTCGACGAGTGGGTGTCGCCAACCAAGGCAACACGCACTCGAGGGTAGTGCCGACGGGACGCGGCTCGAGGGCGACTCTCGCGAAGGCACGGCTGGCAACCGTGGCGTGGGGCTCGCGTTCGACAAGACCGGGATCGCTCTACCGGCAAACCTCTCGCTGACATGCGCGCCCCGTCGAGCTGACGGCGGGCGCGCTGAGGTCGCACGCCAAGCCAAGGATACCCATCACTGAGCCGATAATGCTACGGGTAGCCCCAGGGTGGCGCCCCCCCCCATGCCCTCTGGCACTTGCCTGCGCCCTCGCGCACTAGCCCACGCCCTGCCCCGCAAGATCTCACTCCGCCGCCTCCGACGCCACCACCGCCGTCGCCCCCAGCGGTGTGCAAGCCGTTTTGTGAGGACAAGACGCAGGGCTGGGATGACAAGTGCACCTGGGGGGGCTGCAACGGCTGCACCGAGTGCTCTTCCCCTCCGCCAATGTGCAAGCCGTTTTGTGAGGACAAGACGCAGGGCTGGGATAACAAGTGCACCTGGGGGGGCTGCCACGGCTGCTCCGAGTGCGGCGCCTAGCCTTCGCCGCCGCCGCCAGCTTCGGCTGGCTGTCACAGGTGCTTGAGTAATGAGTAGGCGGAACGGGAACCGCAGTGTGCCGAGTTAGAGACTGCTGTAACCTGTATATTTCAGTGAGAGGTGACAGGTGATTGTGGTTTGTGCGTGTGCGGCGCACTGCACACACAATCACAAATCACACTCAGCAAAACCCAGGCCAAATTACTTTCTTTTAACAACGCCAATTTGGGCGCACATGCTTCACAGATCACACACCTGTGACACTAAGGATGCCTTCCCTCCCTTTGCCGGCGCCTTCTTGGGTCGGGCCCTGCGGGGCCCTCACCCAGAAGAGCTTCACCTTGTCGGCGCCGTAGCCGTTGCGCATCGGCGAGTCGACGAGCTCGACCGTGAGCCCCGCCTTGCGCATCGCGTCCTGCAGGAGGGACCAGACGGGCGACGTCGACGACGGGGTTAGTGCACTGTCAGACCCGCCAGGATCCCGCTGCAGTGAGGCCGCAGGGCGGGGCGCTCCCATCACCCTCCTACGGCTAGAGGCGAGGAGCCTCTCTCTCGC